TTTTTAGCACTCTGTTTGCTGATTTTGGTCAGCCATTTCTCAGTTTAAGCCATCTGTTTTTGGGCTTTGGTCAATTGTTTTACGTTTCGAGCTAACCATTTTTATTTTTGGTAAACCATTTAACAGTTTGAGCTATCTGTTTTTTGGACTTTAGTAAACTGTTTAACATTTTTTGCTATTGGTTTTTATTTTTGGTCAACTGTCAGCGGTTATGGAAACCGTTTAAATGCTTGAGTTAGCCGTTTAGTATCCATTTAAAACTGTTTTTCTAGACTGTTTAATGGAAAAGCATTAGTGTCTGTTTACCCATGGAGGGTCACATATTCCCAAAGGCCCAGTTTAGATGCCAAACTTCAGCCGAGCCGAATCAAACTCAACAAATTAAGTTCATGTGAAGCATGGTGTCTGAATCAATTCAGAATGGCTGATTTAATTTAGATTGGCTCAGTCAATTAATCCCGGTTTAAGACGGTTTGCATTCTTCTTCTTCTTCTTCTTCCTATTCTTATTCCAGCATTTTGAACAGGAGAGAGGCTCTTGCTTGCAGATTGCTGCCGCAATCCATGACGTCTGCCATGTTTACAATTGTTTGCAAAACCAATGACTGACTATTAATTTTCTTCAATTAATTAATTTTGGCTGAGTGAAGTTCAGTGTTTGAATCAATTCAGCCAGGATTAACTGATGTAGGCCAGCCTATTGCAGAATTTGATTTGGCGCAGCTGAAGTACAGCGTCTGAACCAGGCCTAATTAATTATTTTTTCTTCCATTCACCTTTCTTCAAGATGAAGTCTTTATGTTGTGAGGTAGATTACTTTTTGGTTTCTCCAGGTTACTGATCACCATATAAGCTTGAAATTTACTTGACTATACTTTATGCATGACAAATTAAGATATTCCTTTATATACAGTTGCAGTACTGATCACTTCTGTTGTACTCTATGTAGCTGGATGAAAACAGTAACAGAAATGGTGGAGAATTAGTTGGTGAAGTTCTAAAGGTAAGTGATGATTATTATAGTAGGTTATGATGATCACAAGCCCTGGTGATGTTGTACATCCCAACTACCAGGGTTCATACGTGCTGATTTGTAAAAAAGTCAACTTTTAAGATCCTAAGAAGAAAAGGTGACAAAAATGCAGACACTTTGGGCAAGGGTTATACAAAAATTGCAAGCAGTCTCTCCTGTTTGGCAAAATCTGTTAGGGATTCCAAAAAACGGAGTTGAAAAGGTCAGCAAAAAAAAGCAAAACAGCAAAAAATAATAGTTAGTGTGCTGCATGGAACTCATGCTAGCATCAATTTTTTTTGTTCACTGATTTTTTTTTATTTGCATGAAGAACAAGATGTAGTCTTGGGTTACAGTTTGAATTTTTTTTTTTATCTTTTTTGCATAGTGAAGTTGTAGGGTATGTAATACTTAGGCTGGCATAAAATAACCTGTGGTGATACACAGACATAAATCTATAACCTGGACATCACTTTTGAAAGTTCATATCTGAGGTTGAAGGAAAAAGGACTTCTTTGTATTACAACAAAATAGTTTATTGGATTTGATAACTGAATTGATTGATAACTTATTTGATACTTTCAAAGTCATTTATAACAGCTTTAGTTACCTGTAGATGAGTTGAAAAATCTATTCACTCACAGTTAGTTGATTATGTTCTGCTAACAAGATGCATTGTTCAGGATAAATGTGTAATTTGTCATCTTTTTTGACAGGCTCATGGTGTCAAATATGTTTTTACACTCTGTGGTGGCCACATCTCGCCAATTTTAGTCTCATGTCAAAATCTAGGAATCCGTGTTGTTGACACACGGCATGAGGTAGGGTGGTTAAATGGTCATATTTTTGCTTGGAACAATCAGTGACAGATTACATGACATAAGGAATTCTAGCTGGTCTACTATGAAATATGATGCTATGACAGCCCTCAAAATCAAGGAATGTTTAATTAAAACCAAGTAACACTTTTAATTTGCCTTCCTTTTGTGATCAGGTGACAGCTGTGTTTGCAGCAGATGCAGTTGCCAGGTTATCAGGAGTTGTTGGTGTGGCTGCTGTTACTGCTGGTCCAGGTAAGTGTAGACTTTGTTTATCCCATTATTGTTGAAATTTTTTCTGTAAATTTTTGTTTTCTTTAAAATTGGAAAGTGAAATCTGTAGAAACAAAATAGAGTGCTAGATGCCTCTTCTCTTTCTTTCTTGGATCCTTCTCACTCTCTCTTCAATCAAAGGGTATTTTCCATGCCTTTTGAACAAAGACCAAACATAGCCGATATTTCAGTCCAAAGGTATGTTTTGGCAAATGGATTATTTTATATCTATTTATTGTTATCATATCAGGTCTAACAAATACAGTGACAGCTGTGAAGAATGCTCAAATGGCAGAGTCTCCTGTGCTGTTGTTAGGTGGAGCTGCTGCTACACTTCTAAAGGTCTGTATTTTGTTTGAAATGATTACTTTAGATTTCTCTTTTGTGTAAGAGGGCTTTATAATAGGCTCATCTTGTCAGAATTTATTACTGTTTCTGTCGTTAGCCTGAAGTGACCAGGGATATTTGTTACACCCTCGCCTGGAAGGAATAGCAGTCACCTAGCTACCTCCTAAAATTTGGTGAATGACTGTCTTGTTTGAGAGAGAGCTTATATGGCAGAGGGCTCATCTTGTCAGGGTTTATCTCTCAGTTTCAGCAGCCTGAATAGACGAGGAATATTAAAAACCCCCCTCCAAATCAGGGTTGCAGTCACATGATTACCCTCTTGGTACTTGTTCATACTTCTTGTTTTCTAGAAGGTTAAAAATTCTCAGTTATAAAGGATTTAGTTAATTTGCTTCTAATTTGGTTCTTTATAGTAGTCTATTAATAATTATCATCGCTTCTTCTTATTGAATTATTTCTTTTAGGGACGTGGAGCTCTACAGGACATTGATCAGATGAGTTTGTTCAAGTCTTTGTGCAAGTACTGTGCTACAGTTACAAGGTAATTGATTGTAAATATATGATTTTCATTTATATACAGTCATTTATTCATCACCTCAGGTGTTTATTACAAACCAACATAACGACCAGCTCCTAACTGGCTTGTCAGCTTAATTGGTAGAGCACTGCACCAGTATCACAGAGGTCATGGGTTCAAATCCTGTACAGACCTGAATTTTTTTCAAGCCTTATTTTAACTACTGTTTAAGTAGTGTAAGACATTCTTTAGCTCAGACAAAGGAGGATAGATATCCTTGGCTATTTGTGCAAACTAGTCTCACATGTAGCTCTGGCCAGATAGGTTATTAAGCTCATAATTCCCTGCTTTTCATTTTTGATATCACTAATTGAAATGTCTGCAATAATTTTTGCCTATAGGGTAGCAGACATTGTTCCAATTCTACAAAAAGCCATTCAGATTGCACAGTCTGGAACACCTGGTAAATTCTGCTAGTGAGAAAGACTATTTATCCTGATTATAGTGAACAGCTGAAAGTAGTTTCTCTAAATATGAAAAAATTCCAGTTTATGTGAACTTTTGGCTGCATCTAAGGGTATGAACAGGGTTAGGGTTAGAGATGTGCTGGATGTTTTGTATCCTTGGTGTGGTTTTGCAAATCATTTTAGATTACCTTTCTAGTCACCAGGTCAAAGTATGGTTTTCAGTTGAACCTTATTTGTTCCTAGTACCTTAAGATATCCTTGGCCATTTTGAAACTCATTTTAAATATATTATTGCCTGCCTTTTGTGTAATTACTTGACAAAGTTCATGTGACATTTCTCCCCTGATTTGTAGGTCCTGTGTTTGTGGAGTTCCCCATTGACACCCTGTATCCCTATCCTATAGTCAAGAAAGAGTCTGGACTCAAGGTATTTACATTCTTTTTCATTTCAAAGGACTTTCAGTGATCAAAATTCCACTTTGGGTCCAGTTGTTGAAGGGGCTGATAATACCATCCAACTGATAAATCACTATCCAGCAGATCAGGATAAGTTTTAACCCTTTAACTTCCAAGATCTCATTAGTAATTCTCCTTACTGTCTGCCATAAAGTTCTTGTGATGCTAGTTTGGAGAATTTGGTATTGGATCAACTTATAATCCCCTCACTGACATTTTTCTTTATTCTCATCTTTTGTATGCTTGATATTGTAAGGAGAAATTCTGTCTTGGTCATTCATGGCAGTTAAAGGGTTAACAAAAAGGACCACACTAACAGCCATGCAGGCCCAAGTTGTTCTAAGGTTGGATAATGCTATCCACTGAATAAAACTCTCTCTGTTAGATAACATTATATGTTTTGCTATCACTTATCCACTGGATAGTGATCTGTTAGATAGCATTATCCACACTTTTTACAACTTGGCCCAGATGGAGATTTATCCAGCAAATAGAGTTGTCTACCCTTCAAACAACTGAATCCAAGGCAATTAAATCAATAGTGCCCGGTAACTTACTATTAATATCTCGTAGAGGAGATTTTGAGATAGTGAAGTCATCTGAGCTACCAGCAGACATCTTAAATCATTTTTCAAAGTATATCTATCCACATACTGTTAAATTACCCATTGAACATGTTAAATGGGTATGTAGTTTTTATTATTACCAGTAACATTACAGCCAACCAAAATTTCCCATTACTTTTAGGAAGAAGTCAGTGGATTTTCTCAGCGCTTAGTTAATTGGTAAGTTGCTTACTGAGTCACAAGGCTTGGGTCACACCCTTGTTAAAGGTGTCTGGGTTTACCTCTTTTTCTGATCCACCTGCAATTTTACATTGGGTGGTAATGAGAATTTGCCTCTGTGACCCAGTACCAAGGTTTATCAGGAATCATGGGTAGCCAGCTACCGGCACCTTATTGACAATGCTGTGCTGATATTTAAATTTGTATATGATTGTGCTCACTTTCCTAAAGGTATATATCTAACCACCTTCATGGCTTGTTCGCTGGAGCCTGGGACCCACAACCAAAAGATCCATTACCTGTTGATATACCAATGCCTATTAAGTCACAGGGTAAGTGCCATTTAGATTTGACTTAATTTTAGCCAGTCATTGTGTGACTGTATTACGAATCAGTTACAATTCTTATCAACAGATATGTGAACTCTCTTCTTTTTAGTTGATGAATGTGTGAGACTGGTTTCTAAGTCTACTAGACCAGTGATCATCCTAGGAAGTCAGTCTACATTGCCTCCAGTCCCAGCTGACAAACTAAGGAAAGCTTTGGAGGTGGGTTGTAAAGGCCTGTTCTGTTTATCAGCTTTTCAATTTGTCAGCAGAATATCATAAAGTTAAGAAGAAGTAATGATCTTCAAAATTAATGATCTTCTGTGAGCTACAAGCTAAATTGTAGGAAGATTGCAGATATAGGAAGCCTCTGTCTGCTTTGGCCTGAAAATTGTTTCCTCCCCAAACATCTAAGTTTAATCCTTGAGATTCAACGTAACAATTAAGAGTTAAAATGCTCAACTCTAAAGTAATTTGTAGAACTTTTGGGCAAACCCCTTCACTGCGCCAGGCTCCTACCAGTACATGTACTTTCTTGCAACTGAAAGTTTCCCTCTACTCTCTTTATTTTTCAAAATCTAAGTGCCTGTAGGTCAGCAATATTGAAATTAGCTATAAATAAATACAGCTTTTGAAGACAGGTGTTGGCTGGTGAAAGTCAACATCTAGAGGTATTTTCAATTGTGATTTTGCTTGGTAATTCTTACTGATCAGAAACATTCTAGACAAGACCTGAAATGTTACTGACTACTTCTGGGAAAAAAAGCTTTCTATTTTATTCTGCATGAATATCACTTAGACCACCTGTTATAGCTTTATGTTTCATGTGTGCTTTAGTTCATACCAATTCATAATTTGGCAGTAGATTGATCAGTACAACTGATCTCATTTGCAAATTTATAATTTGACCTCGGTCTAGCTTTTACAAATTGCCCTACCTTCATGTTTGTTATTGTTATTGTTGTTGTTGTTGTTTGTTTTTGATGTTGATTTATTCTTATTTTGCTAACAGGAATTGGGTATCCCATGTTTCCTAGGAGGCATGGCCCGTGGTCTGTTGGGAAGAAATAGCAATCTCCATATAAGGCAAAGGAGGAGAGATGCTTTAAAAGAGGCTGATCTTGTTATTTTAGCAGGTGAAATAGTTAACACCTTATTCAATAGTATGGGGTCAAGATGCAAACACCTAATCAAAACCCCTTTCACTTCCAAGATCTAATTAGTAATTCTCCTTACTATCTGCCTTACAATTCTTATGATGTTAGTTCAGAGAATTTGGTATTGGATCAACTAAGAATCCCATAATTGATATTCTTCTCTGTTCTCATCACCTACTTGCTTGATATTGTATTGATATTGTAAGGAGAAATTCTTTCTTGGTCACTTGTGGTAGTGAAAGGGTTAAGATATCCTTTTTGACAAATAAAACTAAATGATGTAGTTTAAAGTTCTTTTCAATTCTGGAAAAGTCAAGTCCAAAGAATTAAAGCAAGGTAGAGTGTGGATCATTTAGTCAGCTTTCAGAAACATGATCCACTTTCTTTTGAACACAGGTACAGTGTGTGACTTTAGGTTGTCATATGGTAGAGTTTTGAACAGGAAGTCCAAAATAATTGCTGTGAATAGAAACAAGAGTCAACTTTTTAAGGTGGGTCATTTTCACAAGCCTAGTAAAAATTTCATAAAACAAATATTAAAAACTTTAAAGAGGATAAATACAGGATATTTTAAATGTTAACTAACTTTAACTAAAAATTCATAACATTTTGTTGTTAATGACAGGATGGTCTAAGTAATGAACTGACTTTAAATCTCTATCTGCATTTAGAATTCAGACATGTTTTGGAAGCCCTCAGTTGCTGTTCAAGGTGGGGATTCAGAACTGTTACAATAAAAAAACTTACCAGACTCTAACTTGTAATGGAATGCAAAGCTATTTAAAAACTATTTATCATCAAAAAATGTCATGATGATTATTTGTTAGCATCTAATCTGCCTGATATCATGTAAAGATTACACATTAGAGTGTGTAGTTCTACTCACAGGTGAGATTTATAACTATTACAGTAACTGCATTTATTAATTTTTGTTCCCTTTGATTAGGTGATAGTGAAATGTTTGCATCATAAAATAACTGATTACCTTTCCCTGCCCTACTCCACCTCAGAATTTGCAAGAGAAGTAATAATATCAAGACTACTTTTTGTGACAAGTGATAATTCTTGATTCCCACTTTTCAAGCTGTCAAGGTGTCTTAGCCAAATGTTATTTGGTGCTGATGATGATTCCTTTGGTTTCAGGTGATCCTGCTACCTTGATGATTGAACTTTCTAAGGGCCTCAAAGGCTACATCTGTCCAACTGATTGGTTGGAAAAACTGAAGGAAAGAGACATTGATAAAGAGAAAGCAAACAGGTACCTTTCAATCATAACAGACTCCATTACGGAATATATTTTGTGAAGGCAAGTGGCTTTCAGAAAAGTGAATTAATGGGGATGCCATGCATGCCCTTTGGATGTTTGCAGAACATTAAAAAAGATTTCATGTTATTCCCCTGCCTCTAGCTTATGATGTCAAATTATCTCACATTTTTCCCATTGTTTAACACAGGTTATTTACTGTCAGTGGTATACCAAAAGAAAGTCCTGTCTCTTGCTAAGAAAAGTATGAGTTCAACTCTTAGGCATAAAAATTTTGCATATTAACTAACAAGATTGTTGTATGTAAACAACGATCCAATTACAAGATTGCCAGACAAAAATTTTACTTATTACAATGAAGGAAGCCGATAAGGACTTCCAATTCCACATAGAATCACAGGATTTCATTCCTTTTTTATAGAGTCTCTGCTGATGATTTTTCATGTTTTTGCCAAAGTTATGAACCCTTTAACTCTCATGGGTGACCAAGACAGAATTTCTCCTTACAATATCAATACTGAAGATATCATGCAGACAAGTGATGAGAATAAAGACAACTATCAATTAAGGGTATCATTAGTTGATCCAAGACCAAGTTCTCCAAACTAACATTACAAGAATTGTATGGCAAACAAGCAAAGAGAATTACTATGTAGATCTTGGGAGTAAAAGAGTTAAGAGTATTTATCTTTTTCCTGAACAGTCTGAAGTCACAGGAATCTCTAAAGCAGCAATTGAACCCACTGAAGCTGTTGTTCAATCTGGAGCACATTATGTCCAATGACAGTATCATTGTAGCTGATGGAGGTGACTTTGTAGGCTCTGCTGCTTACATCCTGAGGTAAAACCCGATTTACTGTATTGTTTAGGAATGTTTTTGTCATTTTAATTAATGTACAAAGAAAATTTCTTTGATTCATAGAGTTAACAACTGAGCATTTGGAAAAAAGTAGTGGATTACTCAAGGAAAAACCCTCTCCCCCATGTTTCACACATGAAATTGCTCCAAAGTTACTGTGTAATGAACATTTACATCCGATTTTTGAGATGTAGATGGATGTGCATGTTCTAAAATTTTTTTCACTGGTTTGAACTTAACTTCACAACTCTACACTTTATATGGTGTATCATTAAACTTTCCTCATGTATCACAAGCAAAAGAAACCCTTTCTGAGACTCTACAACAAGGGAATAGTCATTTTTTAACATTTATTTATAACAATAGGTTATTTCTGGCAAACAACTGAGTGTAAGTTTACCCATTCAGTGATCTCTTAAACAACTGTTTACTGAAATGATCTGCAAGCTGTTCTTGTGACAGGTGATTTGGTGAAATGAAGAAAAGAGAAGCATCTCCCCCTCCCTTTCAGTAGTAAAGCTAGTGAAACAGTACCCTTGCTTCCTTATTTCAGGCCACGAGGTCCATTGACGTGGCTGGATCCAGGTGCGTTTGGGACTCTTGGGGTGGGTGGTGGCTTTGCCCTGGGGGCCAAGCTCTGCCGCCCAGATTCAGAGGTCTGGATTATTTATGGAGATGGTTCTCTGGGTTACAGTGTAGCAGAGTTTGATACTTTTACAAGGCACAAGGTTTGTTTGTTTTGTTTTGTTCTGTTCATTTTTTCCCACAGAATTTACCAGCAATGTGCTGATTTGAACCTGGTGAAACATGGTAAAGACAGGTCCAACAAACTGGAGCTTTTATATGGCATAATGTCTTTGAGAAGTGCATGTTGTTTCTTTGACCTCTCCCGCTAACCATGACAAAATGCAGAGCATATCCCCTGTGATTTGGTGTCCTTATCTGGGAAAATGAAGAAATCAAACCATTTGCAGACATCTTTGCAAGAAATCACTGACAATCTCCTCAATTATTCAAAGCTTTTGATGAAAATCCAATTTTAGCCTTAACTGTCACTCATTGCACAGGCAGTCTAAATGTGGCTTACCAGGTAGAAGTGAATGCTCAAAAAACTACATCATCAGTCAGTAAAATAGTGAATTCTTCTCAGTATTATTATTAAGGGTCTTTTTTTACAGTTAACCCTAGCTTGTGATAAATATTGTTCTCTTGTTAAATTCTCAGACTCCTGTCATTGCCCTGGTTGGTAATGATGCATGTTGGTCACAGATTGCTCGAGAGCAAGTACCAATGTTTGGTTCGAGTATAGGATGTGACCTGGAGGTAAGAAAAAGCTTGAGTCCATAGTCAAAGTTAGCATTGGGATTTGTAGAGAACATGCCACTACCACTAGTCACTACCATCTTAACCCATGACCACTAAGGAGTGACCAGCATCTACTGTAGTAAGTTTTCCCTTTACTTGCACAACTGAATCAAACACCAAGGTCATGAGTGTGATGGAAATGATAATCAACTGAAGAAACTCTTGATTGTTAGGCAAATCCTTCTTGTCAGTATTTCAGGAAGCTTATTGAGAACAGTATGGAGAATATACATACTGTGAGGGTGTAATAATGTAATTCTTTTGACGTCTCAACAGTTCACAGACTATCACAAAGTAGCTGAGGGATATGGAGGAAAAGGGTTTCTTCTCAGTAATCCATCCACTGAAGAGATTGACAAAACACTCTCCCAAGCACAAGAAGTAGCCAGGGATGGCACTGCTGTACTGATTAATGCTCTGATTGGGAAAACTGACTTCAGAGAGGGATCCATTTCAGTATGACATATTTCACTGTCTTCTGGACAATTTTACATGAGAAGTAGTTATCTAATTAGACAAAAAAATTAGATCTTAGTTGAGCTTTAGATTGTACTTTGTAGTGATTAAGGGGTTTTGTAACACGTGGGATGTTAAGAGAACAAGAGAAAAACTTATAAACCTCTTCATTAAGAGTTTCACCGACATCTCAATTAGATTATTAGACACATTAACAAACAGAAAATGTGGTCTATTGCTTTCAAAAAATAGCTTTGGGTCTATCAGTCAAATAGATGATAGTTTTTTGAGCAATCAGAGTGGGCACAGTCTCAGCTAATTAACAATAACAGTTGAAGATAGAAGAAATATTCACAAATAGTCGTTCTTGCACATATTTAATTTAGTACTTAAATAATTCAGTATAAAATTTTTATTTAGTAGTCAAGAATAATCTTTTTCTGGACAATGAATTTAGTTTGGTTTCAAAAAGTGGTTGGTCAAGTTACTGAAACAGAAGTGACAGAATTTTCGACAGATTGCTGTACAATCACTGTGAAATTTTTGAGTTTAACAGATTGTATGTGTAATTTGTGTCATAAATTGTCCCAGGCTAGAACTCAACTGATTGAGAAATAATCTAAAGCTCACAATTTGAACTACCTTCAGCTCAGAAAAACAACAATGTAGTGAGAAATTCATTTTACTAACATCGTGTGCCTTTTTTAAATTCTATTTTACACTGCAAAATGCTTCACCAGAGCACCCTCAGAAATTAGCATCAGTGTAATTCATGGTTCTGTGAAAAACCCCTTGTAGGTAATTTGGTTAAAGTCTACTCATAAATATATAATTATTTCAAGTACATATATCTAGTTTAAAAAAATTACAATAAAATCACTATTAGTAAGAGGGAAAAATTGCAAATCTGTGCATTTATTTTAAAGTAAGTTTGATTACAATATAGAATGAAAAACACTCATATAATAGTACATTGTTCATGAACCATTTTCAACTCAAATTTACCAGAGATGGAACTAAAGATCTTTATCTTGAACCTCTGAGAAATAAGAGTTGAAAGACAAAGAATGTGAAAGGAAAACCTACAAGTGTTTAAAAACCTCTACGTTCTCTATACATCGCATGAAAAAACACTGACTGCAAATTACATTTGATTTAACTTTATACTTGGGTGATGCTGACATGTGATGCTAAGGGGGAGATCTGGCTCTGCTAAGGAATATAGAAATATTGTGCTACTCACAAAATTCCTAGGAGAAATGAAAGTAATTTTTTTAGTCTGCAATTTCCCATCATTGCTGCTGTGACATCTTTGACTCCCTAATAACTAGTATCACCTTTCCCTACTTGAAAAATGTGTATATTCTCATTTCAGTAATCAGCTTTCTGAAGTGAACCCTACATTTTCTCAGCTTAATCCAACCAGTCTAAATCTGGGACAATCCTGAGTCTATTACCACAAGTCCATAACTAATTACAGTCAACAATGATGACTACATACTGCAGATTATTGTCCTAGACAGTGTTATTCATGAAATTGTGGTTTCACATTTCCATGATTCTGACGAAATTGTGAAGAACTTGCTTATCAACCAGGGTTTTGAAGCTGTCTTGTAGTCCTCTGACAATCTATACCTTGCAAACATGGAATATTTAATCCACATTGCCCTACTAGACTATCTAGTGCAAGCGAATTTAACTCCACCACTGTTATCTCTTCTTCTTGGATGTAATTTTATGCAGATCAGCTTTAGACAGGCGTTGGACACCAGCTTTGAACTTTCCAACTGAAGCCTGCAGGCCTTTGGAAGAATTATCCACCCACCAACCCATTGGAGCCCTATGAGACAAGACAAAAGAGAAGTCACATTACAACCCCTCACTAAATCATGGTACATGTAGATCAAAGATTGCTCACAAACCTTGTAGAGGCACTTGACTTTTTATCTGGTTTCTTTTTGAAAATACCCATAGCATGTTCCTAAACAAGGTGGAAAACATAATACTGGCAGTTAAAACTTTCGGTAACTTATGTATCAGTACAGCTTACAGTTGTACTGTTACACAATGCCCTTGTCATAACAAGGACCTCCACACCTGGTTGTTTCAAATTTTCCTAAGTGACAATGCCTGTTGATGTCCACAAATTGCTGATCCTTACATTATACAGGACAAATATCACATTTAAACTTGGTGTTCATCTGACTCCCTCAGAGTTCTCTGAGGCCCAATGGTAAAGCATTGGTACACACCACTACAAACTCTGGGGTATGTTTCCTCTTGGGGAAATGAATTTCCTTTTCCTTGTCCCACACTTGTAACAAGATGAATAACATCTTTCTATGTTGAACTTTACCATTAAATCATAGTTTTTATACTTGATTGTGACTGTCCAAACAAGTACATACCCTTTCCCTTTGTTCTTGCTCTCTCTCCTTTCTCCTCTTTATCTGGCGCATCAACATTGGATATGGCATTTTCTGACCTTTTGGTGCCTATGGATGTTGTAAGCACTGATTTAACCCTTTACATCCTAAAATCAGTTTGAATATTCTCCATACTGTTCTTTATACATTTCCTAAGGTGCTGACAAGGAGAATTTGTTTGCCAATCAAACGTTTCCTTCCCTGGTGACCATTTCCTTTATTCTCATGACCTTAATGAGTGATTCAGGAGTCATATTGTAGGGAGAAATTAGAGGATAGTCACTCTTAGGGTTTAAAGGGTTACGTGAATCGCATAACTATACATGTATATACAATTCTTTTTTTTTTTCACAGCAGGCTTACCCCAAAATGAGTGCTCCTTTATTAATATAGAATTAGAAATCTAATGAACACACTATAAATTATTATAATCATTTAAGTCAATGGTAAGAATCAAATTACTTGATTTGAAGTGCATCATAAGATGGATTTTCCACCTACTTTTCCACCAAGTGACTGAGCTTTCCAGTCTTCATATTTCTTTCTGTCTTTTCTACTGAGACCTGTCACACCTATAACAAATAATTTGTTAGGGAACACATTAAAAACAAGACTAAAACCTACCCTGATGAAGATAACAAAAAAGCATGTTGAAGCCCTATTTCACCCAAACAGCTTTGCTCACTAGCCCTTTTTACTTCTTGAATGACACAACGTTCTGAGTGGCCATTATTTCCCATCTGACAACTTTAAAAAAAAAGCTACTCCTGTTTTGCATTCTGGCTGACAATGGGCCTCTGAATGCACTGCAAAAATACATACTTGATACCATTAATTATCAACAGGAGAATATCCTAAGAACGACCAGCATCTACTTTCTCCTTACCATATCACCCCAGAATCCCACATTAAGGTCACAAGAAACAGTAAAGTGATCACCAAGTAAAGAAGCTTTTAATTGCTAAACAAATTTGCCTTGTTAGCTTTGTATTACAATTTTTTCTAAGCATTAAAATAATGGTAAAAATACGGTCAATTTGTTGATAAAGAAAAAAATGTCTCACCAAATTCTCTAACTTCCCTTGCAATAGACTTAAATTCAAACTCATCAAGGTCTTCCCTATATTTGAAAAATGATACAATTAGAAACAATAATTTCCCTCAAAGTCCATTCACAAAGACCTGTGATCTGACCAGTCTATCCTCAAAAGGCACCTACCCTCTCATTTAAAAACCAACTTTTAACATCTATATTTACCTTGTTGACTTGCTTTTAATTTCTATCTGTTTTCTTTTCCCCTGCAAAGAAATTAGAACCTGGGCTTGCAAGAACTGGTATTATATTAATTAAAAAAACTTAATATAAAAAAGTAATTTTTAAAGATTTCAATGACAAATAATAGCCTTTAATTTTCAATCTTCTGTCAATACTATGTTATGGTAAAAGTGGTTAAGTTTAAAGGATAGCCACAACTTTTACATTCAAAAGTGTTTACTTCTAGGAACACCTTAGCTAGGAACTTTAGGTCAAAGAGTGAACTCAAATAAAATTTCTAACTTGACCAGCTGATGAGGGCAGAGAGGGAGTTTGTTGTTGAACCAGATTACACCATTAAGGGGTGTATTTTATTATTAACAGTGTAGTGACTAATGAATTGATCCTCACAGACATGTACAGGGTAAAAATTACATTGTAGAAAATGAACCTGAAACAAATCCAAGCTTTCATAAGGCTTGCACCCATCCCTCCTAGAAAACAGATGAGCATTACCACTAAGAAGCCATAAAGTTATGAACTAAGTACATTAAAATTATGGAGGAGCTATTAAAAAGAAACAGAAGAAACCAAGAAATAACTCAATGAGTGAAAAAAAAGTCCAGTGGAACTTTCTCTGCCACATTGTTCTACAAGAACTTCATGATACTCTTGGAACATACTGGTGGTAAACTTTTCTTCTTTTTTAACTGCTTCCCTGGTTCAACAAACTCAATCACTTTTGGAAGAGGACGATTGGCCTTCTTTTCAGTCCAGGAACCTTGCAAAAGAAAACAATATTCACAAATTTACACTTGGAGTTAGGAGGAATTCCCCCTCAATAAAATAGGAATAAATGAAAGCAGGGGAACTTGATTAGAACTTTTTAATGGAACATAAACACTGGACCGCACACAACATACATGTAGCAAAGTTGTATAATAAGTTTTATCAAGTATGGAAATTATGAAGATTGGAGAAAAAATAGCAAGCTTTTACAGAGATTTCAAGCCTGAAGAGGATTTGGCTGATTGTAATCAAATCAAAGTTTTGATAATACAATTCTGTGCAACCTCGCGTATTTTAAAAAAATAACCTCTTAAAAAACATATATTACACATATTTCCATTTTCTGAGGCTGAGATATTGTTATATATATATATATATATATACACACATAAGTACATAAGTTAAAGAATTAAAGAGGACGTATCAATTCTCTGTGACTCTGAGTTTCGTGCCTAAGCGCTCGTCAGACAGAACTAAAGTATTCATCAAAAAAAAAAACAAAAGTTCTGTCTGACGAGCGCTTAGGCGTGAAACTCAGAGTCACAGAGAATCGATGCATCCTCTTTAATTCTTTAACTTATGTATACTTAGCTCTGCTACCACAGCATTGAGCACTTTATGCCAAGGTAGACTCTACCCTCACATTCATTTATATCTATATCTATATATATATATATATGATTGTATACATGGAAAGACTGTGTTTTTATTTTTCCATTGTACAATGCCCGATATGTATAAGTAGAGTGAGATATATACTGAGATAGGGAAAAAACGAAGAGACTAAACTTTCATCCTTACAAGCCTATTTTGTGATTCCTGACCCATCAGGGGATTTTATTGTCAAGAATAACTGTAACCATCATTTAATTTTTACTTTACAAATTTGCATAATAGGCATGGCAATAAATTATTCTGCTTTGCTCAATTGTTACGCAGTAACGCTTTGTTTCTGTGTTTTGTAGCATATAGTTA